TTTCTTGAGTTTAGGCATGGCCACATGTCTTGCTTTCACCAATGAAAAGTGAGTGGAAATGGAATTTCTTATCTGAGTCAAAGCATCGCGTCACCAGTGCTCAGTTACACAACCCTCTTCCTTCTGCCTCAGCCTCGCGGAAGCCTCTTTCCATAAAGAGGGGTTTCGCTGTGCCATCTGAAGGAGGTTGACTTCCCTCAACAGTCACACAGACCTCCAGTGGCTTTTGCTAAGTGTAAAACAAACAGAAAAAACCTTCTGAATTTCTTTGAAAGCCACTGAGATTTAGGGGTTGCTTGTTACTGCAGTATAACCTACCCATTCTAACTAATGCAACAACTGATTAACTTATTAACTGTTAACATGTAAGAGATTGGAGTAGATTAGATCACACACTCTAGGTAGGACTGATAAACAAGTCATCTAAAGGTATTTATGTGCATGCTAAGGCTCTTTCCATACAGGCCTGTAGCACACCACACAAAGTATCTCAATTTAATTCTCACAGCAGCCCTATGTGATAGATATTATACCCACATTCTGCAGAGGAGAATCACAGAGTTCAAGCAACTTGCCCTGAGTCACGTGAAAGTAGCCAGTGTGATACCAAAACCCAGGATTTTTCCTTTATCTTCTCTGCCTCCCAGGTTGCTTATCTAGATTGGTCCCTCCTGGTTGTATTTTATTTATATTCACTAAAGCCCACATGGACCAGGTAATTAGCTTCTCTTTTTTTCTATGATATTTACTTTGAATTCTTAATCAAGTGTCTGATAGGTGCAGTGTCAAACCAGACAGAAGAATGTAAACTAAATGGGGCAAATTCATCCCAACTTCTAGAAAAAACAAACCAGATAATTGGCCAACAGAGTTATCAAGCAAGATTTGTATGTAATATATAGAGTAAACAAGAAAAAAACTCAGAATTTCTAAAACTCTAAAAAGATTGTCCATTCTGTTTTTCTAGAAAAGGGAGTTGTAACCTAACCGAGATAAGTGTTTATCAGTTCTCTAACTTAAGTGATCTCCAATAAAGTTTTTAGCTTATTTTATAATTTATTTTGCCAGTATCCCTAAAGATAAACACCCCAAATTTGCAAATGGCCTTGCAGTCCAGCATAGGGTTATACATAGGACAGTGAATCCCTGTGAGGGCAGGGACCATGACAATCTTGTTAATTGATGAATCTCAGTTCCCACATTGATACTGGAAGGCAGTTAGCTATTAGAGGCATTTGTTACACAGATAAAGTTAAAGAACCCATGACTACTGACAAAGATTACAAAACAAACACAGAAATAAGAATGCAGTTTTACCAAAATGAAAGTCTTGCTTTAGCCAATCACATAAAGGACTGTCAGCTGAGATCTGGTTGTACAAACAACAAAGTTGCAAAGGTTTATATGAAGTCTAAATTCAAAAATAGAAAATGTACATCTAAGCTGAATCTTAGGATTTTCTGTTTTATGTGAATTAATATTAATAAGAATTCTATTACTATTACTAATATGTAGTAATGGTGATGGAAGGCATTTAAATTCTTTTGGAGAATTCTGTTTGAGGAGGTACTAGCATCTCAACTTGGCTTTACAAGTGGGAACAAAAGCTCAGTTGAATGAGTAGTGGACCTGCACTGCAAAGCAAATTGCCAAGGTGGCAAGAGACTGTTTGAGGAAGCACGCGTTCCTCTTTGAAGCATATCACCTGGCTCAGCAACACCCACAGGGCGACTGGACTATTAGAAGTATCCATAGTTTTGAAAAATAAACAGTTCTTTATTTGATAAGTCTAATTTCAAAGTATGTACCATCATTTCATAGTGAAGATAAAAGGGAAAAGTCACCAGATTTAATCAAGTATATATGTCTGTGGTAGATATTATAAAAATATATGATATATCGTACACATATAAAAGTCTGCCGTGAGAGTTCAGCTCTAGGAATCTACAATTTGCTGTGAATGTGACTGCATTCTTTTGCGTTAAGTCAACTCTGAACTCACAGATTGATTTCCTTTCCTTTCTGCAGTTAGTTTTTTAACATGTGTGTAGTGTTAAGGAGAGGTTTAAATAAATGCTCTGTCCACTAGAATCATAAAGAATGGAATTGTGGTCAGGAACATAAGTATGTAATCACCTTGTGAGTTTCTTATAGGCAGAATCCACATCAGACTAGTTCTTAGAAATCCTTATAGCACTTGATCTTGCATCAGTGTCTAGTAAGTGCCTGTCAGTAGGCAAAGTATATAGTTGTATCATGTAATAAGGTGAAGTTCATATTTGTTCAAACTCTACAATACATAGGTTGCTGCCCTCTTTTTTAAAAGACTATTTTTAGAGCAGTTTTAGAGTCACAGCAAAATTAAGAGAAAAGTCAGAGACTTTCTAAATACCCCTCCCCCCATACAGGTATAGTGTCCCCCGTTATTAACATCCTCCACCAGAGTGGTATACTCATGACAACTGATGAACCTACACTGAAACATTATAATCATCCTGGGTCCATAGTTTACCTTAGGGTTCACTCTTGGTGTTGCACATTCTATGGGTTTAGGCTGTCGACTTTTTCATATTTGGAAACTTGGTTTTGCTTTTAAGATTTATTGGATTTGGTTTTAGACTCATTATAAAAAAATGCTTTATTTTGTAATTACTTCAATTTGAAAATAATCACCAATTCATAGAAAAATTAGAGCTATAGCACAAAGAACTTTTCTGAACCATTTGAGAGTAAATGCTGGCACCCCATCACCCTGAATGCTTTAATGTAGGTTTCTTCTTACGATCATGGGCATTCTCTTAAATGACCCCAATACCACTATCAAAGACAGGAAATTGACACTGATGCACTGCTGCCCTCTAATTCTCAGAGCCTATTCAAGATTCTCCAATTGTCTCATCAACGTCTAAACTTTACACAAAAGGATCCAGTCTAGAATCATACGCTGTATTAACCATTTTCCCTTTTCTTAACCATTTATTAACCAGAACTAGTCTGATGTGGATTAACCAGTTATTAACCATTTTCCCTTTTCTTCTGTTGGAAACAGCCCTTCAGTCTTTCTTTGGTTTTCTCTGAAGTGGACAGGACAGTTACTTTGTAGAATATCCCTCCATTTGGACTTATCACTAGTCTCTTGCAATTGTATTCAGGTTCTGCATCTTTGGCAGGAATAACACAGAAGTGGTGCTCTGTTCTCTGCGTCCTGATAGCTGGTGCACAATTTCACCCTGTTCCCTTACAGGCGCTGTTCAGTTCAATTGCTTGAGAGAATGTTTGCCAGCCTTTTCTACTTACTTTTTCCCTTTCTAAAGAGCGAGTATTTTGTGTGGTGATATTTCGTAACTACGTAAATATTCCATTTCTCATTCGACTTTTACTTTATTAGTATGTAAAGATTTCTATTTTCCTATTTTATTTGCTCTGTTAAATCTATATAATTATTTATCCCAAGTGAGATTATCCCGCATTTGGCCCATTCGACTGTGATTCTGTGCCCTTTTTTTTTTTTTTTTTTTTGACATCATCATTCTTTGAGTACTCTCTTAGTTTCTGGCACAAAAATGTGTTTCAGACTCATGTTGTACTTTACAAGCCCCCACCCTGGAATTAGCCACTTCTCCAAGGAGCCCTGTTTCCATTTAGTGGAGAGGCCAGGATCTGGACCTTAAGTATGTTCATTTCTGCCAGTTGTGCTGCTCCCAGGCACTCTTGGTGGACAGAGCTAGGGGATATAGCTGCAGATACACATGTTTACACATACTTTTATATCTATATTTAATTCTGTTTCTATATATGTAGTGAAAACCATGAGTTCATACTAATTTCTCCACTTTCAACTCAACCTCTTAGGCTCATTCTACTTTTCTCCCATTATATATTTGTAATTTGTACCTCTGTTCTCTGATAGTGAAAAACACAGTACTGTAAACAGAATTGTGTCCCCCCCCACCAAATTCATATGTTAAAGTCTTATCCCCTATGTGATATTATTTGGAGATAGGACCTTTGGGAAGTAATTAGGTTTAGGTGAGGTCATGAGGGTGGGACTCTTGTGATGGATTTAATGAAAGGAAGAGCCACCAGAGCTCTCTGCCATGTGAGGATACAATGAGAAGCCAGCTATATGAGAGCGAGGAAGAGACCCTTACCAGAACCAGACCATGCTGGCACCCTGATCTCAGACTTCCAGCACCATGAAAATAACGCTCCATTATTTAAGCCACTTAGTCTATGATATTTAGTTATGGCAGCCTGAGCCAACTAATACATATGGTGGCTATTTCTCTTAATATACTTATTTATTTGATCAATCTCCCTCATTTAGGTTCCAACTCTCCATGCTGGGCTCCCCCTCCATTAGGACAACCTCCTCACTGGAACTGGGCTCTGATTTTCCATTCTGGGCTACCATGTCTCTCTCCTCTCCTCCCCCTGCCCAACTGTGAATTTCTACTTTCCTCTGCTTCGTCTAATGGTTTTGGGATGGAATTATTCAAGAAGAGAAGGAAATGGATTTTGTTTAGTTCCCTAAGGTATCACTTGATCATTTGTAGAGATGTGTCTTATCAAGCAAAAGTCTGAAAAGTTTGTTATAATCAAATATTTGAAGCTAGAAGGAACCTTAAAGATAGTCTAATTTAACCATCTTATTTTATTTAGTAACTTTTTAATTTCTAGGGGTGATTTTTCTTACTTTGACTAAGGAACAATTGAGTCTTAAAAAAATTTGCATTAATGCAGAGCTGTGATTATAAAAAAAAGCTTCTGGAATCAAAACCACTATTCTATAGAAATTCCTTTTTATTTACAGAAACTCCATGGTTACCTGGAATGATAGAAGAACTAATGCTACATAGCATTTTCTAAGTAACCAATGGCTATTAATGTCATTTCTTCATCCCATTCAGTGTATTTCTCCTGTCCCTCCCCTGCATTTCCAATTAAGGGGCTTGGGGAAACAAATGAATTGCACCTACAGCTCACAATTCAGACTAATATTGAACTGAGAGAAGCTCAATTAATTTTATTATTGTTCCCTCCCATATACACACATGCACACAACAAAATAGGACATATGATTTAACAAATGTAAATGCCTTTTCAGAGACAATGGCAAAAGGTAACTACAATGAGACCGCACAGGAAAGTGTAGGCAACACAATGACCACACATGTTTCTTACTGGGGAATCTCGTAGGACTAGGTCTATAGCAGAGACTACAGATAATTATGTGCCTTTAAAGATAAAGCACATTTAGGGATTGGGCAGCAGAGAGGTATGTAAACCCAGGATAAAGAAAGAAAAGCAACAAAGGAACCAATACCTTCATGAGCTTATTTGATTGGAGAAGGAAAGAACTTAGGAAAGTACAGTTGGAGAACAGGGCCTGCCTTGAGAAGTTGATAGATTTATGACTCTTTAGCCACATGAAGTTGTTAGATGATGCATTTCACATAGCATTGAGCATAATTGTAAATATAATAGAAAACCCAACAATAGTGTCTTAAAAGAATAAGGATGAATTTTTCTTATTGGAAGTTCGGAGGTTAGTAGTTGCTGGCTGTGGTTCAATACTTCAAATATGTAGGATCGATGTCTCTGTGATTCTCTTGGCCTTTCCTTCATGGTTCCAAGGTGGCTACTATAGCTCCTAGCATCACATCTGTATTTAAGACAAGAAGAAAGGAAAAGCAGTGTTGCAAGACATATTCGTCATGTTTTATTAGGAAAACAAAAGCTTATCTAGGGCCCTGCTCCATCACCACCCTCAGCACATATTCACTCACTGAACATTAATCTGAATTTTCACATCATTTCTATCTTCAGAAAAAGCTGGAAAAGTGAGTGGTTAACTTTCCCAGATTCTATAATAGAGATGGGAAGGGAAAAAGTGATTAGAAATGGGTGTTGGATCTATTGGTCTATTCGTCTGCCACAAGAAAGCTGGTCAATTATCTTCCATTTATCATTTAGATAACAAAAGTTTCAGTTGGATATAGAAAAAAAAATTGATTAAATGGGGTGACATTGGTTAATAAGATTATATAAGTTTCAAGTGTACAATATTATAATACATCATCTGTATATTGCATTGTGTGCTCATCACCCAAAGTTTAGTGTCCTTCTATCATCATATATTTAAACCCCTTTACCCTCTTCAACATCCCCCACACCACCTCCCTCTGTTAACCACCATACTGTAGTCTGTGTTAATTAATGAAAAAAGAATTTTTTTAACCCTCTAGTCAGATAGCGATTCCTCTATCCTTGAAAATCTCCCAAGTGAGAAATATTCAATATTACATGTCTTAGAAGATTTAGACATTCAGTTGCCTGAAGCCCGGATCAGGTGATTTCATTAGGTCTATGATTGCTTGATTTACTATTTCAAAGCTATACGTTTCCAACCTCTCAAAACACTGCAAAATACAAAACAATACAAGATGGTTATCCCCTCTTCATTGGTTCTTCTCTCCTCCATCTACTTCACTGGAAAACTTCCAAAAGTGCTTTGCTTTTAGAGGTTCTAAGGGTAATGCTATTCTTCTTATTCAAAACTAATTTCAGGTATGTCAAGAAATTAAAGAATTGTATAAATGAGGTGTCAGTAAAAGATCAGGAAATCAAGATTAGTTTTGTTTACCAAAATGTATTTGGATAAAGCTAAAAATTGATCTAAGACTCTATTGGGTAGATGTGAAGCAATTCCTTGAATATTATGTGGATATTTTACAGCAGAGTCACAAAACTTCCCTAGACATAATATTATACAAGATTATCTGTTATGCTTATTTCTTAAGTAAACACATTTGTAAATCACTTGGCAAATGTGTAGAGAGCCCAGGGTTCATTTCTGCTTCACATTGCGCTGTAGTCTTGGCTGCACCAGGTTCCATAATGGCAGCAACTAACCTTTTCCAGGCAATCCTTCATGCCCTGGAGCAAAGAAGACAATGTGCCATTGTGAACTTGCACAAGATTTGCAAATGTGATGCAATTTTGATGTACCAGTGGCCTGAACTTCACAAACCCACCCAAGATTCCGGTTTGCCTATACTTGTCAGCCAGAAAGCATGAGGAAGACTGAGGTCAAGTCCCTTTTCTTAACCATGTTTAAAGATGATATAAAAGATATTTTCTTCTCCTGTGGTCTTTTAAATGACCAGAATGAGAATTGAGACTGGTTTCACAATCAAACAAATTATCTCTTTCATGCACATTTATTTTTCTTACATTGCTAGATTAATTTAGGGAAACTTATTAGCTCTTAGTGCTTCTGTAGAGTTTTGATAGGTGAAAGCTTTTGTTTTCACCATGCACCAGGCTCTATGCAAGGCACACCATAAGTTATCTCAAATTCATTTCATCCATTCAACAGATTTTTATTGAGGTCCTACTTACAAGCTGGTGTTCTAAATGTTGGAGGTATATGCTATCATGAACCCTCACAACATTACAAAGTAGTTGTTGTTATTTACATTGTAAAAAGAAACTAGGGTCCAAAGAAAATAAACAACTTAAGGTCACACAGGCAGTCCTTGGCAAAGCTGGGTAGAAAGCCAGGTCTGTTTATTCTCTACTCCAGGTGTTTTACCTAGTATCATGCTGCCTTCCTGCTATCAACTGGCACTATCATAAAGGCCCATAATTGTAAATGCACAAACTCATTTTTGAGACTGCAATTCATGATCACTTATAGCTAATATGCCAAAATAGTTAACGCTCATGATATGAGAATGATAAAAAGGACTCTACCTTCGTTAACTTGGTATATAACTTCACTCAGTCCTTTCCTCCAGAAACTACTCATCTTCAAAATTTGGTTTCAGAAGCCCAAAGCCTTTAAGTTATAAGAAGTGATAATCCATACTTCCAGTAATTGTCCCCCAGGCTAGCCTGAGATTGGGTGTTATATGGGTCCTGGTAGGAATATCCTCAGAAGTGAGGAAAGAATCCCAAGTCTGCAGTCAGGAGCCAAGTTTCTGATCTGCTTATTTATCATCTGCATAACTTTAAGTTGTTTAAAGTCTGTATGCTTCAAGTTCAGGGGTGTGAGAAACAAATGAGATGACACATATGAGAGTGGTTTGAAATTGAAAAATATATAAAGGATGACCATTATCTAGCTTGCAAAACAGAAGAGACTGAAAAATAAAGGCAGCATGAAAGAATACTGCAGCTGAACTTTACAAAATTTCTAATAAAACATTTAATTAAAGATTCCAGGGAGGGATAAGGAAATTATACATTGTCTGTCACCCCTTTTTCTGGGTATCTGAGGTGTGAAGTTCTGAAGAGTGTTCATTCTTCTTAAGCATAAACACAACTGTTGTCAAGAATGGACTCATCTTGCCTCACCAATCTTCTAAAAAACAAGTGTAATAATTTAGCAGAGAAAGAAAGCTAGTGGTATCTCGATCACAGCTTCTGAACAGAAAGTTCACAGTGGATCAGACAAAAGTGGAGAGCAGGCAGCTGAGTTCCACTTGGTTGGTGAACACTAAATCATCTCCATGCATCACGGGCAAGAATCACAGGAGCAGGTTTTGAAGTGTCTTGAGGCCTAGAGAGACAGAAGGAAGGAAAGAGGATCAGAATGATTTGTGTTGGTCTAAAGCCCTCTGTAAAATGGTAAGAACTCTGATTCACCTCTCCAACCCAGAGATAGGGCACATCGCCCTAGCCCATTCTCTCTCACCTTCCCAAAGCACCTCTCCAAAACCCGAGTCTTCTTTATTCCTTTCTCTAATCACCCTACTCCACATTTCCGACCAACTCATTTGTCTCCATATTTTATACTGCTGTTTCTAACTTTCTTATAACTCTTACTTGGAGAGATCAGCCCTAAGTCAAAAGCACACATGGTGTCTTCTAGAGACTGCTTTACAAAGATGGAGTCATGTAATGCAAAAAAAAGTGCTAGCAGGAGGGGAGTGAGAGGAACTAGGCTTCTATTCTTGCATACTACAACATCTTGGGAAAGGCCTTTTATTTCCCTGAGCCTCAGTATCCACATCTATAAAAGTAGGAATTATCCTTGCTTGTTTGTTCCATACAAATTAAATGAGATGTTTGTGGAAAGGCTTGAAAACACTCTACAAATACAAACAGTCCCATTTTTCCCTCAATGATCTTATGACAAATGCAGTCATTCAGCAAATGATTACTGAGGATCTGTGATGGGCCACACTGGGCTTGGCTCTGGAGAAATAACAATAAACTTGGCATTTTCTCTGAGCTCAGAGAGCTCATCTGGGGGTGGGGTGCAGCAGCCTTACTGGGAAATTAAAATATACTCTACTAAATCTATAAATGAACATCAGAAAAGAGCTCAGCTCAGACCAAAGGGTTTTGTGGGGAGAGGGATAACAGAGGAGCTAAATCTGGAAGGATGGAAGAATTTGCTAGGAAAAGGAGAGGGCAGGGGTCATTCTAGGGTACAAAGACTAGAAAAATGAGAGCAAGAAAAGGATAGACTATAGCACATATTTCAGCTGGGACCTAAGGTGAAGGGAGTGGGGAAAGATGACACTCGAGGGACAGGAAGGAGGCATGCTACATGTTCACGATGGTATTTACATAGTGCTCATGAGGTGTTAGATACTTTTTTAGTATATCACATGTGTTAACACTTTTAATTCTCCCAATAATCCATGAAGTCAGTTCTGTTATTGCCCATTACTTATGGAAGAGGAAACTGAAGTTCAGAAGTTACTTACCCAAGATCTCACAACTGGAAAGTTTGCCAAGGAATTGGGTTTTGCCCTGAGAAATTGAGAAGCCACTAGGAGGTTTTCAGCAGGTTTTGAAAGACCAAGTCTTCTGGGATGGGATATATTATAAATGGAAATTTAAACTTAATGATAGATTATACTTAATGATCAATTAGCTTGGCTAATTTTGCTTTTCCTCCTTTTCCTAACAATCTTTTGTGAGAGATAAAAGAATCAGTGGACTTGAAAAATACAGAAACTAATGAATAAGACACAATATATACAAAAGACTTAAACTGTTTATGCTCCTTTTTTTAGTAATTTCATGTCTAAGAATTTATTCTAAGCAGATAGTTAAGCATACTGTTACACATACAATAGTGACATCCACCTGATGCTTGAGTACCACGTAATCTTTCTAAACAAATTATGTCTGGTTTATCACCACCAGCTAGGGTTGGTAGGAGGCTCAATCATTTTCCTGAGTTCTAGTTTTTCTCTTTCATCCCTTGGGATTATGGAGCATCCTTAGACCTAAGCAGTACAAGAATTTAGAAAAGGTGGTTCCTAGTTACTCTTTAGGCTTGATCCATATTGTATAGGCCAGTTCTTCTGCTGGTGACATGAAACTGGACCAAACTCAGTTACAGGACTATAGAGTAGACCTCAGGCATCCCCACAGTTCCCCATTTCAAGCTCTGCCATCTCCAGGGTGCCACCACCAGTTTCCTGCACCCTTTCTTCCTGAGAAATCTCCACCTCATTCCCAGCCTGGGAATATCCCACCCTTCTGCTTCTAAACTGGCCCTTTTCCCTCTTGGCTCTAGAAGTTTGAAGCCTCTAACCCTTTCCTATCTAGAACTCCCAGTTGACTCACCTCCCTGAGCATACACTTTTGGAAATGAGGGACTGTTGTCTTGCCCCTGGGACCAAGGAAAGTCCAGATGGTGACGACTCAAAGCCCCATGTGGATCATTGGGACAAGAAGGAAAGAAAGACGTATTGTTTTATAATAAACCTATAACCTAGAAAATCCAGTTTATTCTTAATGTATTCTGTCACATTCAATTTTTAATGTCATCCAATTACACCTAAAATAGTGTAACTCTGGAAAAACTTAACTATCCCACTAGTGGGGTTGTATATTGGAATAATATACAACAATTAAAGAGCTCTGTTTTTAAAGGCTATTCCAGTGATTTGGAAACATACTCTTGATACACGCATTTTTTAAAAGTAAGTTACAAAGCAGTATATGCAATTTATGTCCAATCTTTACAATTTATTTACATACATACACAATTGTATCATAAACAATCAGTGCTTATCTCTAGTAGTGACATAATGATTGAGTTTTATTTTCCTTTCCATACTTCTGTGCATTTTCCCAATTTATTTCACATAATTGCATTACTTTTATAATGATGCACAGTGCACAGTGCAATGATGGTGTGTGTGTGTGTGTGTGTGTGATTGGCTTATGTTCTGGTCATTCAGGTGAAATAGTGACCTATCTTGGTAGACTTACTTGCTGGGAATAGGAAGTTAACATGTTAGGCCTCAAAACAAATAGCAATAAATTTAAGAAGACGAATCAAATCAAGTGTCTTCTCTGATCACAATGATATGAAACTAGAAATCAACTACAAGAAAAAAAAACTAGAAAATACACAAACACATAGAAGCTAAGTAACATGCTACTAAACAATGAATGGATTAACAATGAGATCAAGGAAGAAATCAAAGGATACCTAGAGACAAATGAAAATGAAAACACAATGACTCAGAATCTATGGGACATAGAAAAGCAGAGGGAAATTCATAGCAATAGAGCCCTATCTCAAGAAACAAGAAAAATCTCAAATGAACAATCTAACTTTACACTTAAAAGAACTAGAAAAAGAACAGCGAACAAAACCCAAAGTGAGTAGAAACTAGGAAATAATAAAGATCAGAGCAGAAATAAATGAAATAGAATCTAGAGAAACAATACAAAAAATCAGTGAAACCAAGAGCTGGTTCTTTAAAAGAATAAACAAAATTGACAGGCCCTTAACCAGACTCATCAAGGAAACTAAAGAGAGGACCCAAATAAATAAAATCAGAAATGAAAGAGAAATAACTACAGACTCCACAGAAATACAAAAGATTATAAGAAAATACTATGAGCAATTGTATGCAATGAATTGGACAACGTGGAAGAAATAGATACATTCCTAGAAACATACAATCTCCCAAGACTGAGTCAGGAAGAAACAGAAAATCTGAACCGACCAATTATCACCAACGAAATCTGATTGGTAATAAGAAAAAACTCCCAAAAAACAAAAGCCCTGGACTGTATGGCTTCACAGGTGAATTTTACCAAATATTCAAAGAAGAATTAACACCTATTCTTCTCAAACTATTCCAAAAATTTCAAGAGAAAGAAAGTCTTCCTAATTCTTTTTACAGAGCCACCATTCTCCTGATTCCAAAACCGGACAAAGACATCACAAAAAAGGAAAACTACAAGCTAATATCACTAATGAACATTAATATAAAATCCTCAAATTATTAGCAAACTGAATTCAACAAGACATAACAATATCATACGCCATGATAAAGTTGGATTTCTTCCTGGGATGCAAGATTGGTTCAATATCCATAAATCAATTAATGTGATACACCACATTAGCTAATTAAAAGATAAAAATCACATGGTAATATCAATAGATGCAGAAAAAGCATTCAATATAATCCAGCATCCATTTATGATTTAAAAAAAAAAAAACCAGCAATGTGGTAATAGTGAGAACATGCCTCAACCTAATAAAGGCCAATATGACAAACCTACAGCTAACATACTGACTGGGGAAAGGCTTAAAGTGTTTTCCTTAAGATCAGAAACAAGACAAGGATGCCCATTTTAACCACTTCTATTTAATATGGTATTGGACAATACTATCAGACAAGATAAAAGGGATCCAAATTGGAAAGGAAGAAGTAAAACTCATTTGCAGATGACATGATACTATATAGAGAGAACCCTAAAGTCTCCACAAAAAAAACCATTAGAACTGATCAATGAATTTGGTAAAGTAGCAGGACACAAAATTAATATTGAGAAGATGGCTGCATTTTTATACACAATGATGAACTTCAGAAAGAGAAATGAAGAAAACAGTACCATTTACAATTGCCCCAAGAACAATAAAATATCTAGGAATCAAATTAACCAAGGTGGTAAAAGACCTATTCTTGGAAAATTATAAGTCACTGAAGAAAGAAATTGAAGAACATACAAATAATTGGAAGCATATACCATGCTCATGAGTAGGAAAAATCAACATTGTTAAAATGGCCATACTACCCAAAGCAATCTATATAGATTCAATGCAATCCTTATTAAAATACCAATGGCATTTTTCACAGAACTAGAACAAATAATCCAAAAATTTATATGGAACCATAAAAGATCCCAAAGAGCCACAGAGATCTTGAGAAAGAACAAAGTTGGAGGTATCACACTACCTGATATCAAACTATAGTAATCAAAACAGCATGGTACTGGCATAAAAGCAGATACATAGATCAATGGAGCAGAATAGAGAGCCCAGACATAAATTCACACCCATATGGTCATTTAATCTATTAAAAAGGAGGTAAGAATATACAATGGAGTGAAGATGGTCTCTTCAACAAATGGTGCTGGGAAAACTGAATGGATACATGCAAAAAAATGAAACTGTGCCATCTTTTTATACCATATATAAGAATAAACCCAAAATGTATTAAAGACACGTGTAAAACCCCAAACCATAAAACTTCTAGAAGAAAACATAGTAAAATTACTGATATTGCTATCAGT